TCTTCCTCCCCAGGTGCAGCACCTTGCACTTGTCAGTGTTGAAACCCATCCTAGTCTCATCCGCCCACCCCTGTAGCCTGTCTAGGTCCAGTTGTATCCCGTCCCTCCCTTCTAGTGTGCCCACCTTACCCCAAATCTTGGTGTCATCAGCAAATTTGAACAAGGTGCTTTTCACCCCCTCGTCCAAGTCGCTGATGAAGCTGTTGAACAGTGCGGGCCCGAGGACCGAGCCCTGGGGGGCTGCCCACATCCCTCCAGATCGAATGTGACCTGTCCACCACCACACTCTGGGTGCAGTCCCTCAGCCAATTCGCAATCCATCTGACTGTGTAGGCATCAATGCCACAGTCATCTAGCTTTTCAATTAGGATGGGGTGAGAGACAGTGTCGAAGGCCTTCCTGTAGTCCAGAAAGACTACATCCACCACAACACCTGCGTCCAAGGGTTTTGTGACTTGGTCATAGAAGGCCACCAGGTTGGTCTGACAGGACGTGCCCCTAACGAACCCGTGCTGGTTGCCCCTGAGCTTCGTCCCACCTGCCACTCCTTCCCAGATGTGCTCCTGGATAATCTTCTCAAAGAGCTTCCCCAGGACTGAAGTAAGACTAGCGGGCCTATAATTTCCTGGGTCCTCTTTCCTCCCTTTTTTGAAAATGAGGACCACATTGGCCTTCTTCCAGTCTTCTGCCACCTGGCCAGAGCACCACGAGTGCTCGTAAAGCCGTGCCAGGAGCCTCACGATGACCTCTCCTAATTCCCTCAACACCCTGGGGTGGAGAGCATCTGGACCTGCTGATTTGAACACGTCCAGCCCCTCCAGAAGTTCCCTGACTTGGTCCTCCCTGACCCTAGGCCTGGCGGAGTCTCTCCTGAGTCCGTCCTGAATCCCGGGGGGGACATCCCGCTCCCTGCTCAGAAAAATGGAGCCAAAGAATTTGTTAAAAAGATCTGCCTTTTCCTCTGGTGCAACCACCAGATTGCCAAGCGTATCCTGCAGGGGCCACACGTTGCCTGGTGCCTTCTTTTTACTCCCCATGTATTTAAAAAAGGACTTTTTGTTGTCCTTGATGCTAGCTCTAGTACCGTCTCTGCCTTAGCCTTCCTAAAAGCCCCCGTACGGACCCGAGCGATGGAGGTATACTTCTCTTTGGTGGTAGCTCCCCCCCCTCCACTGGATGTATGCCTCCTTTTTGGCTTTCAAGAGTTCCTGAATGCCTTTGGCGAGCCAAGGGGGCTTTTGAACACTCTTGCTCCCTTTGACTCGCGTTGGGATTGTCACCCCTTGGGCTCGGAGGATCGTCTCCTTAAGGAAGAGCATGCCCCCTGCATGCTTGCTCACCTCTACCCAAACATATGCTGCACATGTGTGCTCACCCCTACACACACACTTGTCCTCTGCATGCATGCACACCCATGTGCACACAGCAGGTGTGCTCACCCCACTACATGTATGCCTCCTGCATGTATATGCTCCCACCCATACACTGCACACGTGCTCGAACATGTTCGCCTTCTGCACACGTGTATGGATGCACGTCCGTATGCACATAGCACGTGCTCACCCTGCTACATATATACCCCCAGCAGGCTTGTACAAACACACACATGTGCACACACGTTTCCACATATGCACTCACAACCACACACAAGCACATAACCGTGCTCGAATATGTTCGCCCTCTGCACACATGTATGCATGCACGTCCGTATGCACATAGCACATGTGCTCACCCTGCTACATATATACCCCCAGCAGGCTTGTACAAACACACACATGTGCACACACGTTTCCACATATGCACTCACAACCACACACAAGCACATAACCCCTGCATGCAGACACACACCCACTAGCATTGCATGTGTGTGCTCATCTCTCAGCTCACACGCCTGCTGCCCATATGCAACGTGTGCCCATCTCCTCTCCACACACACGTGGTTCGCACACACCAGGACCTCTGCACCCAGCTCAGCCTTCAGGTACCCCAGCACACCTCCCCACCCTGCCAGGCGTGTTTCGGGCATGGCCCCCGCCACACATATCTCCTGCTGCCACAGACAGGGGCAAGGCAGGGTCCCCCCCGCGCCCCACTCACGAAGATGTGGAGGAACTTGAGCAGGCGCTTGTGCGTGAGGATGTGCAGGACGTCGCCCGACACCGGCTCGATCACAGGCAGCCGGTGGATCTTGTGCTTGATCAGTGAGTAGACAGCATCAAAGAGGCTGGGGGGAGCAAGGCCCAGGGGTAGCATGGGGGGAGGGGGGTGGCTGGGCCCCCCCTGGTTTCAGGGGTGACCACCAGCATCTGGGGGAACGTTTGTTCACCAGAGCGCCCCAAGGGATGACGAGGTCGAATGGTCATAAACTACTACAAGACCATTTCAGGCTGGACATAAGGAAGAATTTCTTTACTGTCCGAGCCCCCAAGGTCTGGAACAGCCTGCCACCGGAGGTGGTTCAAGCGCCTTCATTGAACACCTTCAAGAGCAAACTGGATGCTTATCTTGCTGGGATCCTATGACCCCAGCTGACTTCCTGCCCTTTGGGCAAGGGGCTGGACTCGATGATCTTCCGAGGTCTCTTCCAGCCCTGATGTCTATGAAATCTATGAAAATCTATGAAATGCCCAGCTCTAGGTCCTTGGCTCTGACCATGCGGGGGGCACCTGGGCTGGCTCCAGCCTGCCAAGCCTGCCCCGCCATCACACACAGCTCAGGGGCCCAGACTCCTGGGTCACACTCCTGTCTCTCCCATCTTCATTGCCCCCACCACCCCCACCCTAATGTCCAGCCCCCCTGAGTGCTGGGAAAGACCCTGGTGGGGGTCCCAGCTACCTGGGGGATTGGCTCAGAGCTGCCCCTGCCTCCCCAGCATTCCCTGCCTGGCGGAGGGGGCAGTTACCTGTTGTTGGGGGAGATGAAGACGAGGGGTTTGCAGGAGCCTTGCAGGTAAACCTCTGCAGGGAAGCAGAGAGCGTGAGGGGGGGGCGAAGGCAGCACATGTACATACATGTAGGTGTGCACATGCACACAGATGCACACATGCATATACAGACACATGCATGCACACATACCCACATATGAACAAGTTCACATGCACAAGCACATCCGTGCAAATGCACATGCACATGTTGCATATACAGACACATGCATGTAGGCATGCATACACACATGCCCACATATGAACAAGTTCACATGCACAAGCACATCCGTGCAAATGCACATGCATATGTACATGGAAGCAGGCATGCACATGCACCCACGTGCATGCATATGCACAAGTAGGTACATGCACATACAGGCAGAGGCATGCACATGCACACAGGCACACACACACACACACACATCCACGACGTGCCTTGGACGTCTCACAGTAGTGGCCTGTGTCAGGCCTGTACGCCCTGACCCTGCACACAGCCCCCTCCAAACCCCCAGACTCCTCCACCTCGCCCCACCCCCGCTCTCCCTCCCCACATCCACACACGTGCTCACAGGCACACACACACACACGCATGCAGTCTCCCACCTGCACACGTGTGCACACGTGCTCTCACCTCGCCAGGTCTCAATCTTGTGCTGCTCGATCTCATAGATCTGCACCTGCAGAGGAAGGTGGGGGAGGTGTGAGCACCAGGGGGGAAGGGTCTCTGCACAACGGCCACTGCACCCATGGGTGAGGGGGGGGGTCCCACCTGGCACACACCCCCCCACACCCCCTGGGGCCATGACTCACCAAGGGTGACCGGTAGTAGCGGTGCAGGATGTTGATGAAGTCGGTGATTGTGAGCATGCCTACCGGGGGGCAGGGGGAGGAATCATCAGGGGGTCCCTGAGGTCAGAGCCCCCCCCAGCAGGCCCTGGAGAGTGCAGCCACCCCCAAGGGGCCACAGTCCCTCCCCTAGAGATCACGGCAGCCCCCCAGACCCCACAGTCCCCCCCACAACCCATAGCCCCCCT